TCTGGCGTTTTTGGGGAATCCCCTGGGCCTCTCAGGGGCGGAAGAGACGGTGTACAGGAAGGCCAGTGGCGCCTTCTTGGGCGCGCATTGCATCGAACTTGGATCGGGCAAGTGTGTTGATTTGGCTTTCCTGTTCTCGTTTCTAGTCATTGATTTCGTCTGCCGTGCCCCAGTTTCCAGTGTCCTCCCCCTTTGTGGACCACGCGTCCCAGGATGGCAGGACAAGCTGCCCACGATATGCGCGAGCTTGGTGTCCAGGCGCACGCCTCATACACTTCCCCCTGTCGCTTTCTGCCCTCCCTCCCTCCCTCCCTTCTCCTGGATCCTTCCCCCCATTCTTCTTCCTCCTCCTTCTCCTCCTCTTTCTCTCGGCGACGACGGCGGCGTGGCCGCCCCCACCCCCGGCGGCCAGGGTGGCCTGTCCGCCTTCCTGCAGCAGGGGCCGGATGTGGAGATGGAGAACTACAAGTTCCACTCCGACGAGATCATCGCGACGCTCGAGAAGCTGCAGGCGGGGCGCGGCAGCCGTTCCCCGACGGGGGGAGGAGGAGGCGGGGGAGCGGGAGGGGGAGGAGGAGGAGATGATGATGTAGAACGAGGATGAGGATGAGGATGAAGGTGATGATGATGATCATGATGATGATGCTGATGATGATGATGATTCTTGGTGATGATGATGATGATGATGATGATGATGATGATGTTGGTGATGATGATGATGATGATGATGGCGACGATGATGATGACGATGATGATGATGTTGGCGATGATGACGATGATCCTGATGATCATGATGATGGTGATGATGAAGACGACGATGATTATAATGCTGATGAGGAGGAGGAGGAGGTGGGTAATGATGATGTGTTAGAGGTTGATGGTAATGATGGTGATGCTGCTGCTGATGATGATGATGATGATAATGATGATGGTGGTGATGCTGACGGTGACGATGATGGTGGTCATGATGATGCTGCTGATGACTATGATTACTGTTGACGATGCTGACGACGACGTCCACGACGATGACGATGATGATGATGGTGATGATGATGCTCTTGATGTTGATGTTGATGATGGTGCTGGTGGTGATGCTGCGGCTGCGGATGAGAATGTGGAGGAGGATCGATTTTCGATGGTCGATGATGATACTGCTGATGATGACGATGGTGATGATCATGATCATGATGACGATGATGAGGATGATGATGATGAAGAGGAGGATGAGGAGGATGAGCAGGAGAATGAGGGTGATGATGGTTTGGATGTTGGTGGTGATGACGATGGTGCTGATGCTGCTGATGATGATGATGATGAAGGTGATGGTGACGGTGACCATGATGGTGGTGATGATGATTCTGCTGATGGTGATGACGACGATGACGATCATGATGATGATGCTGAGGATTATGATGACCGTGATGATGATGCTGATGATGGTTATGCTACTGATGATGATGACGATGATGATGCTGATTCTGATTATGATTCTGATGATGATGGTGGTGACGATGATGATGATGATGATGATGATGAAGATGATGATGATGATCTCGATGATGCCGCTGATGATTGCGATGATATGGTTGCTGCTGCTGATGATGGCGATGCTGCTGCTGATGGTGATGCTGATGCTTCTGCTGATGATGATGATGACGACGCTATTGCTGATGATGATGGTGATGGTGATTGTGGTGGTGGTCGTGATGATGCTGATGATGATGGTGGTGGTGCTGCTGCTGATGATGATGATGATGATGATGATGATGCTGATCATGCTGAGGCTGCTGCTGTTGATGATGATGACGATAAGGATGATAACGATGATGGTGATGCTGCTGCTTATGATGATTCGGATGACGACAATGATGATGGTTACGCTGATGACGATGATGATGATGACGACGATGATGATGATGATCCTGATGATGATGATGATGATGATGATGATGATGATGATGATGATGATGATGATGATTATGATGCATGCGAATATGTTGATGCTGATGATGATAATGATGCTGCTGCTGCTGACGAGGATGATGATGCTGCTGCTGCTGATGATGATCATGATTTTTATGATCATGATCATGATGACGATGAGGATTATGATGATGCTGCTGCTGCTGATGATGATGATGAAGATGATGACGATGATGATGATGATGCTGATGAGGTTGATCATGATGATGATGATGATGATGAGGAGGAGGAGGAGGAGGATGACGATGATACTGCTGCTGCTGATGATGCTGCTGCTTCTGGTGGTGGTGGTGGTGGTGATGATGATGATGATGATGAGGATGAGGATGAGGATGAGGATGATGATGATGATGATGATGATGATGATGATGATGATGATGATGGTGGTGATGGTGATGGTGATGGTGATGATGATGATGATGATGATGATGATGATGATGATGATGATGATGATGATGATGATGATGATGATGATGAGCAGGAGGAGGAGGAGGAGGAGAAGGAGGAGGAGGAGGAGGAGGAGAAGGAGAATGAGAAGGAGGAGCAGGAGGCTTGGGCTGTCTTGGGGGCTCTTGGGGTTCTTTGGGGTTCTTTGAGGTTCGTGTGAACCATCCGGGGGCCATTTTTGGAAGCCCCTCGGGCCGTGGTATACGCTGTGGAGACGAACAAGGCGAGTGTGCTCAAGCTTTTCCTTTTCCGAGGGGAAAGGGCGATGCTTCCCTCTTGGGGCCCTCCCGGCGAGCCTCGGAGCGCTTTTTTGGGACGTCTTGGGGGCCTCTTGGGTCGTCGTGAATCCATCTTGGACCGTCGACGGGCTACTCTGGGCGTTCTCGACGCTCTCTTGGACTCTCGGGGCGTTTTGTCTGGGCGCTCCGGGGCCGTCCTGGAGCTGTTTGGAGGCTCCGCAGGCCCTGGGGTTGCGTTGACGAGCTCGTCCCCTCCCCCCCCCTCCCCCGTAGAATCGGATCTTGGACGCCAGGGGAAGGGAAGAGGGGGAGGGGGGCAGCCAATCGTCTCACGCCTGTTCACCCCCGGCAACAGGGGATCGGCGGATTTGTGTCCCTGGGCCCCTTGAGCCACGTATTCTTGACCACTGTCCTGCTCCGGCCTCCCGAGCAGCTGCCCTCGCCGCCCGAGGCCTCCCGAGGTCCCCAGCTGGAGGCCCGAAGCAGGGGCGAAGACTCCGAGGATCCTCGGTGTTCGAGCCGCAGTCCCCCCCCCCCGGGTTTCGTTTCACCGATCCCCGTCCCCCTCCCCCTCCCCATCCGGACCCCCACCATTCAGGAGGGAAAGAAGCACACAGACACAATGAATCCTCCATTCCCCAGAAAATATGGGAACACAAGGGAAGTGGTGGGGAAGACAAACACCGAGAAAGTATGAGAAAATGTGGGGAATCCTTTTATTTGTGTGTATTTATTTGTGTGTCCCAGGGCCCCTTCAACCATCTCACCCCCTTCCCCCGGTGGGGACGTATGCCCCTCGAAGCCCGAAGGGAACGGCTGCTACGTCCCCATCTGGAGGGGCAAATCGGCCAGTGCGGCCCAGGCCGCGCCCATGGGGGTCGGTTTAGCGATGCTCAATTTTGAGCAGGGTTGGCTGCTGGCGCCGCCGCGGACGTTGTCCGTTCGAGACATAAGGCCGCCTGCCCAACAGCGGCCGCTGTCGGTCCTGGGCGACATTTGCTGTCGGGTATCCTACGCGGGTTTTATCTACCCATCTCTCAGGCGATCGCAAACATGGATCAAGGGGGCGTGGATTGGCCACGGGTCCCGTTTCCATTCTGGAAACCGCGGATCTCCGCCGCCGAACGAGGCGGCACCGGCCGCATTTGGGGAGGGCACCTCCCCCGATCCATAGATTTGGCGACCGCGCCTCAAGTCCTCGGATCGCTACTCCATGTTTGCGCGCCCCCAAATCTCGGCCGTCCAAACCTCGGTGGTGGACAGAGCCCCCACCCTGACACGTCGACTGGTGAACTGTTCGTTTTCGGCTCTCGAGGGGGCGCCGCGGCAGTCATTTTCCATGCTTGCGCCCGCCAGGTTTGGGCCCGAGGCCGTTTTCATCAAACCACAGGAGGGGGAGGAGGAGGAGGAGGAGGAGGAGGAGGAGGAGGAGGAGGAGGAGGAGGAGGAGGGTTGTGTCCATCCCCGAAAATCCTCTTCGGCTGCGGCTCAGCGTGCCGCGCCGCCCGGCTCTGACCCCCGGGCCCCCAGAAAGACTTCACGGGCAAGCGCAACGAGATCGACGAGGAGGAGGTCCGGGCCGCGAGCGCCCACGACGCGGCCATGCAGGAGAAGGCCAACAAGCTCAAGGCGGCCACGGGGCGCGGCGGGGCGGGTTCTGGGCGCGTCTCTTCGGGGCCCTGGGCCTGGGGCGGTGGAGGAGGAGGGGAGGTACCCGGAGGTCCGTGCGGATTCCTCGGATCGGCGCTGGACCCCCCCAGCGGCGCATCCGGCGCCGCCCCTGGCGCGCGGAGCGCGCCAGGGAGGGGGGTCCAGCGCGGATCCAAGGAATCCGCGCGGAGCGCCAAAAGTTTCTGTTTGTGGCACCAATGGCAATTATTGGTAACCTTCCCAAGGGCACTCAAGGTTTCGTAGTAGAATGGCAGGGGGTCTCACAACCCTCTCAGACCAGCAGTTTTAGAGCACCCCCAGAGCAGCCATAAAAGGACGGCCTTTTGCCAAGACCCCCCTGAACCATCCAAGACAGCTACAAGCAGACCCCCCTCCAAACCAGACCATCCCCCTCCTATTGTGCAATCCAGAGTGCCCTTGCATCCGTACCTCTCTGGTCCATCCTTGACTGCTTTCGATGGCTCGCTGCGCTCGAAATAGCTTCAACACGGGCTTCCCCAAGGCCCTTGCATCCTTGTTCCAATCAGTTTTGACTTCGGACGAGGGGAGGAGAGGAAGACGGATCGAGGATCGAATCTTGTTCTCTGACCCGTTCTGGCCACGAGGGGGGGCGGCATGGCTGGATCCGCAGTCAAATCTTGGTCGGAGTGCGCCCTGGGACAGGTTCCCGGGCCGTGCTTTTTTGATAAGCGCGAGCGAGACTGATCCAGCTGGTATGCTTGCCCGATCATCGATCATCCTGCGCACTCGCGCGCCTGCCTGCAATGTCGCGGGGGACATGGGGCGAAATAAGGAGCGCCGCTGGTGTTCGACACAGGCCTCGTGGGGCCGCGCGACCAGGGTCGCGCAGCTGCCTGGCTGCGTTCTGGTTGTGCACCCCTCTCGGAAAAAAGAGGAGCAGTAAGCGGAAGCCCCATTGCGGCACCGTCGCCACCGCAACGCACGACCCGCCCATGAAGCCAGAGGACTAACTTGGGCGTGCTACGAGGCCACCGTGCAGGCGCTCCCCGTGTACCCGCCGGAGGTCCGCCCCCGGAGCTCAGCGGCGCCCCTCGGGCGTCTCGCGGCCCTCCGCCGCTCGCGGCCGCCGCTTTGCCTCAATCGCCGTTGCCGTTGCCTCCCCGCTGGGACCCGTGCGGTGTGGCGAGTTCGTCCGCGGATTGTCTGGTGATCTCGCTGCGCATGGAGTTGGAACATCTGGTAGTGGATTTCCATACGGTAAATGTGCGGTGTAGTGGCCTGGTGGCTTCAAGCTGTGTTGTCTATGGTCGTATGGAGGTGTTTGGTTTTTCGCTTTGACTAGCCCGTTGTCTCCGGGATGCTGATCCATCCGTAAAGCCACAGATCAATCCGCCCTTGTTGCCAACGCCTAAAACCCGAACATACGCTAATGATGCGAACACCTCGACCCATGCCGGATCCGCGAAGATAAGGCACCCGCGACGTGAAGACGTTGAGAGGTCGAGCCGGGCGCGTGTGCGCGCCCGTGCGAGAGTGCAAAGGAGCCCTTGCCCGACGCCCTCCCGTCCGCGTCGGACGGCCGCTGCCGCGCCCCAGTCAGCACGGCGGCCCGCCTCCCTCTGCCAGGGCGTCATGAGGTCGAGAGGTCGAGCCGAGCGGGCTCTTGTGCGAGAGGCGCAGCGGCTTGAAGCAGTGGCTAGAGCTCTACATGGGATGTCAGTGCGTTTGCAGGGCGCATTGAGTTTGCGAGCCTTGAGCGAGAGGTGCCCCCCTCCACCAGATGCACTTGTTTTCCTTGACGAGCACGCTCTATTGTCCGTGCCGCCAGGGCACGTTCAGTGCCAGTTCGATGCTGGCCGTGCCCTTTGCCTCGCTCCCCGTCCGTCGCCGTGCAGCACAGGCTTCCCTTCTCGGGCTGCACTTGCTGGGAAGCGCCGCCACGGAGCAAAACAAACAGACTTAATGTTGATTCGCGGCGTTGAAGTCCCAGGAATGGTGTTTTGGCACGACTGAGGATTCTCATACGGTTGTCTTGCAGCGGGCCATTTCCCGCAGTGAAGATATATAGCACCCCGCAATTGCGGATAAGAGTGAGGGGGCGGGCGCGGGCGACGCGGGCGTCGTCAAGCCGGCGGACCTCGTGGCCCCCACCTTCCTTGTCGATGGCGCTCCTCCTCCTCCTCCTCCTCCTCCTCCTCCTCCTCCTCCTCTTCCTCCTCCTCCTCCGCCTCCTACTCCTCCTCCTCTTCCTCGTCCTCGTCCTCGTCCTCATCGTCATCGTCGTCCTCCTCCTCCACCTCGTCCTCCTCCTCCTCCTCCGCTTCTTCCTCGTCCTCCCTCTCCCCCCCTCGTCCTTCCATCATCGTCCTCCCATTGTCGTCATGTTCCTCCTCGTCGTCCTCCTCCTCTTCCCCCCCTCCCGATCCTCCACCCTCCTCCTTTTTCGTCGTCGTCGTCGTCGTCGACGTCATCGTCGTCGTCCCCTTCCTCCTCCTCCTCCTGCTGCTGCTGCTCCTCCTCCTCCTCCTGCTGCTCCTCCTCCTCCTCCTCCTCATCCTCCTCCCCCTCCTCGTCCTCCTGCAAAAGCAGCCCGCCGCAGGCGCCGAAAAAATTGGTTTGTACACTGAACGTGGTTTGAGTCGCGGGTGGGCCGCGGGTTCTCCACCGGGAACGAATGCAAAAGATGCTCGCCGCAGGCGCCGCAAAAAATTGGTTTGTACCCTGAACGTGGTCGCGGGTGGGCCGCGGTCTCTCCACCTAGAACGATTCAAAAGATGCCCGCCGCAGGCGCCGAAAAATGTGGTTTGTACCCTGAACGTGGTTTGGGTCGCGGGTTGGTCGCGAGTTGATCGCGGGGTGGGTCGCGGGCTCTCCACCTGGAAGGAATGCAAAAAAGGCTCGCCGCAGGCGCCGAAAATGTTGGTTGGTGGTTTGGGTTGACGGTGGGTCGCGGGTGGGTCGCGGGGTGAGTCGCGGGTGGGTCGCGGGTGTGTCGCGGGTGGGCCGCGGGCGGGTCGCGGGTGGGTCGCGGGGTGGGCCGCGGGCGGGTCGCGGGGTGGGTCGCGGGTGGGTCGCGGGTGGGTCGCGGGGTGGGCCGCGGGGTGGGTCGCGGGGTGGGTCGCGGGTGGGTCGCGGGTGGGTCGCAGGGTGGGTCGCAGGGTGGGTCGCGGGGTGGGTCGCGGGGTGGGTCGCGGGGTGG